ACCAGAAAAACAAAACAAGAGCAACCTTGCTTCCCCACCTGTAGAGCAATGCCTATTCCTGAGCCCCAGGACAGCCAAGCCAGGTTGGCAACATCCACACCAGAAAGAGCTCCATTTTCCAATTAAAGGCTAATTATCTTTTTACTCATTAACTATGCTAGACCTTGCTGATTTTCCTTGGTATTTTTCTGCCCCTCAATCTTTCTCAATTAACACTCTGCAATGCAGGACACCCCTGACTGCCTGGATTTACAGTGTCAGAGCAGCAGTTAATATTCTCAGCCTCATCATCCTGTAATTTAGGAGCAGATCCCAAACACAGGTGCCAGGCCCACACCCTGATTTATTCTCCAGCAGCCCCTGCCAGCTCAGGGTTCCCAGCCCTTGTCAGCTCCAGGGTGGAACTGCAGTTCTGGGCTCGGATTTGTGAAGTCACCCAGCACAGGAACAGCCGAGCTCGCTAAAGCCCGAGCAGAGAGGGATGGTTTTATGACAGTTTCTCTTAAAATAACACCAGGATGGGAGCAGCCAAAGCCAGGCTTCCAGACAAGTGGTCCCAGCCGTCCTTCCAAAGCAAACACTGCAGCACTGAGAGACAGAAATAAAAATTACTTCATGGATTTTTTCTGGCCCCAAGCTTGTAAAAATGAAAAACGGGCTGGGTTTCTAAACCTCCCTCGTTTCCCAGGATCCAAGGTTTTATTAACAAGTTTGTCAGCAAGGATTTTTTTTACTCTATTTCCAATGTAAGCCACAACCTGAAATGAAATTTATACAGCTCTGCTCTGGTTTCCCCCCCTGCCAAGGCACTGGGGACAGGGTTAAGAGGCAGTGGGGTGAACAGATTCCCCCCCAACTTTGCTGTTCAGCAATGCCCAGCCAGAGGCACATCTGCCACGATGGCTTTGGCCAAGGACAGCACAGCACAATTCACCCAAAAAATCTCTTCCTGTGCAGGTGTAACTGGCCAGCTGCTCTTCAGTTTCTTCATCACCTTCCCAATCACAGAGTTAATATATTACTACAGTCGCCACATTTCATCCTTGGCTACATCAAAACGGGACACTGCTATTGTTTCCACACTGGAATAGCTACATGGATGTAACTGTGGCATCCAAAGGAAGGGGAACAGGAAGAGGCAGGGGTTGCTCAAGCAATGCACAGTTCACTAAGGGAGTTTAACAAATACCATCAGGGTTTGTGCACAGAGGAAATAAAACTCACTGGTTTTAATAGCCAAGATATCAGTGGAAGTTACTGGCTGGTTACAGCAGTGACCTTCTTTTAGCCTCCCCTACTTATGGATTTATCAGAAGAAGCAGTTCCAGGTGCCTTTACCTTTGGAGCCCAGCCCCAAACTGGAAACACTCTCGACTGCTCCTGAGGGAGGCAATTGGAACTGAGTGCTGGCTCACCTGCCTGAGCACCACCTCACTCCCTGCTTTGCATGTTCACATTGTGAGGGCCTGAAATGTCGGTAATGTGTTAAACATGGCCAAAATCATAGAAAGGCTTTTTGTCAAACTGCAAGGAAGCAACTGCCTGTCTTGGACCATGGAAGCCTGACCGGAATTTGGACTGTGAAGCAGGACTTGAGGTAAGACTGTTCTCTAATCATTTCAGGTCTGAGGAGAAGTAAACAAGGCCCAGGGGGTGGTGGAGGAGAAGGGTTTTGGGGGTGTGATGGTGCTTTCTTAAAGCCCTCCACACCAAACCAAAGGAGTAACCCCTCCCCTTCCAGGAAGGCCACTTACACATGAGACATTCACGTGAGAAGGGTCATAAACCACCAAAGACCCCCAAAGCATTCCCCCAACTCATTCCTGAGGCGTTCCACCACCACGTGATCCAAGGGAGGCAACAAATCCAGAGCCTGTCTCAAGACGCTGCAAAGCTTCCCTCCCACCCCCAGGGGAGGTGCCTGGAATCTCCTGAACAGATATTTATCCACTGGACTCTGTGTTTTGTGGGAACTCCACCACCAAAAAGACCAGAACAGCCAGACCCACGGAATGCCGCCGGGTTCCATGGAGTGGTGATCCATTTTCCATTGTAATCTCTCTCTGTCACTTCTTTTCTTCCCCCCCCTTTTCCTATTTCTTTCTATCTCTATTTCTCTACCTCACATTTACTGTTAAATAAAACCCGTGCTACTGACTTCGGCATCTGGTCTCGTTTTGCACCTTAATTCAGGCAGAGGCATTTCCAATAATTTTAATAATCACCTCAGCTCCAGGAAGGGCTCGGATTTTAATAATTTTAATAATTTCTAATAATCGTAACACGTATCAATAAAAGAAACCTTGGTTGCGGCACCGCTTTCCGTCAGCAGGTGACACCAGCGAGTCATTAAAACCAAATATGCCTCTTTTTCGGGGGGAGGGGGGCACGAGTCCGAACCAAAATCTGAGACTTGGCGTGTTACCCTCCGAGGGGCCAGAAAAAACCCACTCCGGATACACAGCGCTGTTTCTAGTTCTCGCGTATCGATCATCTTTTCTCCCACTTTCAAGCCCCCTGTTATTGTTTAATTTCTGGATATAAAAGTTATATTTATGTTTTCCAACCCTATATAATCTGTATTCAGAATTTCTCACGCCCCAAGATCCGATATACATAATACAGTTGATACAAGGTTCTGTTTTGAAATCAATTTTTATATAACTTAGGATTATTTTTCAATATATAGAAAAACGAGAAATGTTAGTATTTTATATTTTTTGCACCGCCCCCCAATGAATTTTCAGGCATTTTTGTGCTGTAACCTCCCTTTTTTGGGAAGACTCCACATCAAGCCCCTTAATGTATCAAGGATATTATGAAGAGGTCAAGAGCGACAACACATATAATATAAATTAAAAACATCTGTAAAAGTTTCTTTCCACACACAAAATAACTTTTCTTTTTTTGGAGGGGTGATTGTCTTTTTTTCTTTATTTGACAGCCTGTAAAAAGATAAACCTTTCGCCAGAAATCATTTTAAAAAGCTATTTTTACAAGCAAAACCGGGAAAAAGGGGCAACACCCCCCATTCCCCGCTCAGGCTCCGCTCGTCCCGCCCGCTCACTGCGCATGCGCATGTTCCTTCGCTGTAGTACCGCCTTTTGACCAGCAGGAGACGCCAGAGAGTCATCGGTGTCACTGCGCATGTGCATCTCTGTTGCCAGATTGCCCACACTTGACAGTGGGCATCAGTAAAGTAAATGCGCATGCGTAATTTTGTCGCCATGTTGCCAATATTTACCATGTGTTTTGCAGCTTCGTTTTAGGCACTCCGCATGCGCGAGCTTGTCGCCATATTGCCAATATTTACCATGTGTTTAGCTACTTCATTTTAGGCAGTGCGCATGCGTGCGTTCGTCGTTTTGTCGCCATTACTTCCCATGTGTTTTGCTGTTTCGTTTTTTGCAGTGCGCACAAGAGAGCTCGTCGCCTTGTTGCAGAACTTCCCATGTGTCTGGCTGCTCTGTTTTAGGCGTCGCACATGCGCGACTTCGTCTCTGTGTTGTCAAAATTTACCACGTGCTCGGCTGCTTCGGTTTTGGCAGTGCGCATGCGCGAGCGCCTCTCCGTGTTACCAGACCTTCCCATATGTTTTGCTGCTTCGTTTTAGGCAGTGCGAATGCGTTAGTTCGCCGCCATGTTGCCAAAACTTACCACGTGTTCCGCTGTTTCGTTTTCTGGCCGCGCGCATGCGCGGCTGTCCCAGCCGCAGCACTGCTCTGCGCCCGCGCACGCGCAGTTCCCGCGCTCGCCGCCGAGCGGCGGCACCGGAACACCCACAGCTCTTCGCTGCTGTTCCCTTCACATCCGTCACCTTCCCTCGCGTTTGCCAGCCCTTTATCATTGAATTTATACGTACAAAGCTGCAGTGTGTATTTTCAAACCCTAGAGATACACAGTAGGGATTTCCTATGCTCTAAGATGTGTGTATGATACATAATGTATGCAATACAAAGGATACCGGGTTGCATTTTGAAATTAATTTATACGTAAATTAACATTAATTTTCAATATATACAAAGACGAGAAGCTTTACAGTCTGTAATATTGTTTTGCACGCCCTCTAATGAATTTTTGGGGCTATAACCTTTCTTTTTTGGGGGGGAGGACCCCCCACGAGCTCCCCTTCATCCCCCCACTCGCCCGCTCCTGCACCGCGTCATCACTCACCCGGTGACATCGGCGTGTCCCAAATGACATCACACCCCCTTTACCCTTGGCCCCAAGGGAGGCACAGGATGAGTCAAACCGAACGAGACAGACCTTGTTCCAGAGACGCCCCCGGGGAGGTGGTGGCGGGCCCCGGGACTACAAGTCCCGTGATGCCCCGCTCGTGGAGGGAGGTGGGGCCTGCTTCGCCTCGCGCTGCCGGTGCCTCCGCTCGGGGCCCGATTTAAATCCAGGCAGCGAAGGAAAATGGCGGTGCGGGGCTGAGGGTGGTGGGGACGGCGAGAGGGAGCTGGGCTTTGGCTCCTTTCCCAGGTGAGCGGGGCTTGGAGGGAGGCGGGGAGGGAGTAACGAGTGGAGGGAGGAGGGTTCTCGTTCGTGTTCCCCCCGCTCCTGGCGCCGGGGTGGCAGCGGGATGGCGGAGGGAGCGCTGCCCGCTGGCCGGGGAAGGGAGCGGCTCGGGGCTCACCCTCGGGGGCGGCTCTTTGCTGCCTCTCGCCTCCCTCCTCCATACGGACGTGGCTCCCCGAGGGGAGCAGGGCGTAGATGGGCTGTGTGTGAGGAGCGTTCCCAGCGCTGGGGCGGAGGGGATTCCCCGGGCGGTGCGCGGACGCCCGTACCTCGTTCATTGTAACTTTGGCGCCAGCTGAGTTCGGAAGGGGCATTCCCGGGGCAGTGTCGGGGGACGGGGCTGTGGGGTGAGGGCTCCCCGTGCCGCTGTGTGATGCAGGTCTGAGCACGGTGATTTTGGGTGGAGGTTCCTCTTGTGGCACGAGGAGACTGGAGGTCGCTGTGGGTTTGTCTTTGGAATCGTGGGTTTGTCTTTGGACTCGTCTCGCCCGCGGTTTCCCAGCCCGAGCACAGGGATGTGTGGGTGAAGCACTCGGGCTGGAATGGCCCCTCCGCCACCCATTGGGGTTTATCTGATGCCGAGACCTTGTTATCTCCCTCTGATCATCCCTCGGTAAGTTTCAGAGGTGACTTCTTTTGTCTCCTTATCTCTGGTTATAAGGAAAGAGACGAGAAATGCTGGAAATAAAAGGTTGATTTCCATGCCTCTTATCCATTTCTGCCTCGTAGCTCTAACGAAACTGTGTTATTGAGGGATGGAGATAAGATTTTTCTCTTTCTCCCCCCCGCCCCCCATCGAGGTCACATACCACTGTAGGTTTTAGTGACTGTGGGATATAAATGGGGTGAATACGAGTGGGGATGTTGTCTGAGGTTGACTTAATTCCCAGAATCCTCTTTGGTTCTAAAGTTGGTTCTGTTTGTGGTTTTTGCTCCTACTCTTAAGCACAGTCAACTTTTCTTTTAAAAGAGAAGCTTCTCAGTTTGTCAGCTCATATTCAGACAGTATCTCCTTCCTCTTTTAGATAAAAGTTAATAAAAAATACTGTGTTGTGCTCTTATCTGGAATAACAGGACAAAATACAGCAAATCTGGAAGTGTGAGGGTTGGTAATATCTAACTGTATGGTATCTATAATATAGTTAAAATGGACACTTACAGTAAGCTTAAAATTCTATCATCACTGCTGTAAAAATGAGTATTTTCTCATAAAATATTTCCAACTTACCATGTGCTGCTACACGAGACAAAGTTGTGTGTTCTAAATATAAAGACGAGATAGCTTCATAGAAACAAATCCAGTCTGAGTAAAAGCCCAAGCATAAAGACTTGGGTTTAGAGGAAACAGAAAAAATTTCGTGTTCTTTTGGTTTGGGGCTTTTTTTTGTTTGTTTGCTGTGGTTTTGTTACCTTTTTTTTTTTCTGGGTTGTGCATTATAACATGTGGTAATTGTATTTACTGCTAGCAGCTGTTACAATGGGCTGTTCAACTGACTGATGTTCAGAATTTCTTTCAACTCTGTTACTACTACTGTATTTTGGTTTTTTAACTAATACCAGTGGATTTGATGGATTTGCTGCTGTGATGTGAAGGCTGGGGGATAGGGGAAGTCATAGCAGACAGAAGAAACCCAGTATTCAGCCTCACTTTAAATACCTTTCCTGATTCCAGTGTGCTGTTTCCAGTCTGATTTTATTTGGCATGTGAGTTTTGGGCTTGTTAGTGGCTTTGGGTTTCTTTTGACTCTTTCTTTGTAGCCCTTGTTCATCCTGGCTTTGGATTTATTAACTGGGAAATTTGCATTGTCTAGTTGTCAATTTTTTTTCCATAGTATCACTGAGACAAAATGCAGAGTGGGAAGGAGAAGCAAATCTATTTTACGATGGAACCTTATCTTTTGATCGTTTTTTATTAATAATGGACAAGAAATCACAGTCAAAACCTTCAAGATTAATCTCTGTTACAGCTGCATAGAAAAAGGGGTGTGTAGCTTTATTTTTCAAGAACTCTGAGAAAGAAAAGGTGTCTTGATTACGTTTGTGTGCAAAATTAAGCTACCGATAGCATGTAAAATGATATTGGACACTCCAGTCTGACACTGGAGGTTGCTTCAACTCTGCATTTAAATGAGCCTCCCTCGAAGAGGTGATCTTGAATGACTGTGTGATACAGGATATTCTGCATTTCATGTGCATGGAAGCTTTTTGAGTATTTAGAAATATGTTAAATATTCCCCTGACTTGTTTTTATAATTAAAGAAATGGAGGAGTGAGGCAGGGCAGGAATAATATTCTTTATGCCAGGGATATGAGAGGGTAATGAAAAATATGTAATGTGAATCCTGGGGCAGCATGCCTGTAGGGGGGTTTTTTGTTTGTTTTTTTTTTTACCCCCCCTCCTCCCCGGCTAGACCTATTGATGTTTCTAAATGCAGTGTATTAGGGAAGAGGCAGTTGTGAAAGAATTTACCTGCTACTGATTTAAGTCTGCTGTGAAATATGTTTCCACTCACTCTCATCTTTGTATGCTACATTTAGTTGGAAGAAGGTACATCAAGCTGGTTTTTACCCCATATAAATGGGAGGTTTACTTAAGATGGACCCTAATAATTTAATTGGTGACTTTTTTTAATTGACAGTTATCAATAAAATGATTTTTTTGTAAAGTGGAACAAAATTACCTTGCCTTCAAACTTAATACAATGAGGGATTCTTAGTCTTCTGTGTGCAGTGTGTGGCATTATTGGTGGTGAGGTTTTATGGGTTTAGATGTAGATACACATTTTTCTTTTATGTTGTCTAGAGTCAGCCCTGTTTCTGACATTGTGAACAGGCAAGGAAAAGGTGGTTGCTTAAGAGACATGAGAGGAAGAAGGTAAAGGGGCCACCATTGGTTTTACTGCTCATTTTGTTTATATGCTGAAAATCAGATTTGTTACTGCTAATAACCTTGGGATATGGTAAAAGCCACCTGCTTTTGAGGTTTTGACTGCTTTTGCAATACTAGAAGAGTGGAGATGATAAGGTCAACTCTACAGGTGTCTGTCTACCTTTGAGTATTCCCTGACTTTGTGTGCTGTATGTGTGGGGAGGGTTGCTGCTGGGTTTTTTGTTTGGTGGGGTTTTTTTTTTTGGTTTGGTTGGGGTTTGTTTTTTTTTTTGGTTTGGTTGGGGTTTGTTTTTTTTTTTGGTTTGGTTGGGGTTTGTTTTTTTTTTTTGGTTTGGTTGGGGTTTGTTTTTTTTTTTGGTTTGGTTGGGGTTTGTTTTTTTTGGTTTGGTTGGGGTTTGTTTTTTTTTGGTTTGGTTGGGGTTTGTTTTTTTTTGGTTTGGTTGGGGTTTGTTGTTTTTTTTGGTTTGGTTGGGGTTTGTTGTTTTTTTTTGGTTTGGTTGGGGTTTGTTGTTTTTTTTGGTTTGGTTTTGGTGCCCCACCTTTGTCACTTTTATCCTTAAATGTGAGCCTGTTCAGGTCAAACATTCTTTGTTAGGTTATGGGTCATTGCCCTATTGGAAACATGGTTTTAAAGGGTTGTTTTCCATCAGGTTAAATTCATTTTTGATGATTAGAACATGGGTAGTGTCTTGACTTGAAGTCTAAAACTATCACAGCTGCATTTAATGGATGAGATTGTTCTAGAAATCTAAAAACACTGTAAAAGTTCTCCAGAAAACGTTGTAATTGTTAGGTCAGGGGCAAACGGTTTTTCATCAAGTTGTTGCACATGTGGCTAAACTACAGAGCAGTTTTGCCCTGACTTACCAGGTGCACCTGAAGATGGGGAGTGAGGGAAAAGGGAGAGGCTGCATAACAATCAAATTGCTGGATTGCTGGCCAAAATGACCAGCACCTGCAGCAGCCTGGGACATTCTGTCACAAAGACTGAACCCTTTACTAGCTCCACTATTTCTGGATGTTGAGATGTGTCGGAGCCATGGAACGAGATAATTCAGTATCACAGGTACACCCAGGAGGCCTTCTAGGAGCGTATTTTCAAGGCAGGTTTGCATGTGTGGAATATTCTGCATGTGACTGGTGAGTTACGATGATTTCTCCTCTTATCTGCTGCGTGGAAGTGAGAACTTTTCTGCTGTTCTAAAGACAAAAAAATGTCATCAATATTATGTGTTTCTGAGTAGTTGTGTTGTAGCCTAACACTTTGGTTTTTGGTGTGGTTGTATGGTGTTTTTTTTTTCTTCCCTTGGCAGTGGGAATAGAGCAAAAAGAAAAGGCAACATTACCTCTTATCTCCCTGGTCAGGATACCATTAAATAAAGCTATTTAACGTATGGATGAAACTTGCTCTTTGAATCTTCAAATGGCTTCATGTGTTTTTCCCCATTAACTTTTAGGTGAGGTGGAATAGAATGTGATAGCCTTTGTGCATCCAGTGGCTTTCCCTTAATGAAAACAAATGGTAAAAATAAATCTTGCTGGAGTATTTTATCATTAGGCAGCACAAGCATGTATTTGAACAACACTACAAATAGAAAAGAATTAAGAATGGATGGTGCCCCCTTCAGCAAATACAGTTAGTTCTTAAATTGTTTCTAGTGGGAGTCCTTTCTAATGGTGTCTTCTACCTGAGTGTTACTATAGGTAGAAATACGTGCCAAAGAGCAGTTAGTGAATGTGGGAAAGGAAACTAAAATTATTCTTGGGGAAGCTACCCAGGCTAGAAAAAAGCAAGCCAAAATCTGTTGTCTAGAGGCTATTTGCCAGTTGTCTTTGCTGAAGAAAACAATTGGCAGAGGTGGTGTTTGTCTGCCACTTCCAGTGTACCAGTGTAGAATAAAGCAGATCAGTGTCTGTGTTCAAAACAAGTGTCTTAAGACTTTATTGAAGTTTACCCGATTAATTTAATTTTAAGCATTTCTTTCCAAATGCCAGTGTCTGTCTGGGTCATGTGCTCAACAGAACTGTAATGCAGTACCTCTCTCTTCCTAATGCAACTCTAGCAAGATTGTTAATTCACATATTGCACTCTTTAGGAGGATCTTAGAACACCCATTTATCTTTGTAGTTGGTCACAAGCTGGACAAGACTTCAGTTGTCACCGTGCTGTGTCCAGGGAAGCATCTCTCTTCCTGTCACTGAACCAAGTCAGGTAGAGCTGTGATGGTATGATGTGGTGCTGGATTAAATTGATGTTTTCTTGGAGAGATGTGCTAAATGTCCTTCCTGCTCTATACTCATTAACAAGTAGTTTGGAACTTTAAAGGAAAAATACCTCTGTTTTCCAGGTCATATAGTATGTTTTTATACACAATTTAAACAGTAACAAATGCTTGTTGTCTTTACCTAATGAAGAACAAGGGCAAGAGCTTTAATTGAAAGGATCTGTCATAATGCTTAATGGGAAACTCTTTCAAGTGATTATTAGTGGTTTTTTCTTTACACTGACAGCTTTATGTTAAATGAGTTGGCTGTATGATAACATTAACACAACAGTTCCAGGTAATGCATTAAAATACAAACCCTGCTGTCCCTTCTAGGCTCTTGTAATACTAAGTCATGACACGTCAAGCTCCTGAGGAAGAGTTGGTGAAGATTTAAAAAATAACCCATCCCATACCCCTCTCCTTGGTTCTTGTTTTTCTAGAAATCTCAGCTTTCATAACTGTTGTGACAAACTTGAGAATTAGTGCCTGTGAATATAACTTGCTGCTAACTTTCCCTGTCTACAAGATGGTACAATATTGAAAACTGTTTGCCATGGGCTGCATGGTAAAATCCAGCAGACTGTTTCTTATCCCATGGTTTTCTGAACTACACAAAGTAGTGTAAATATACATACTCGTTCCACAGGCATGATGCAAAGCTGGCTCACTAGCACCAGCCGCTGCAAAATCATTGTTCTAGTTCTCTTATGTGTTTTTTTGGAGACTTATTTCTTTTTACAAAAAGACATAAAAGAATAAGAGCATAATCTTGGAAAGAAATGTGAAGAATAGCTGAAGTGTTTCTGATACTTCCCTATGCCAAAGAGTGACTAAGCAATGGAAGCTTACAGCAGAGATTTGTGTTTTGGGTTTGTTTTTTTTTTTTCATTTTACTCATCTGAAAGCCTTTGAATTCTTGTTTTTCTAAGTCTTAAGCAGGCCTGTAACTACTCTGAGCTCTAGCTAGAGAACAAGATATGAATTGTAGCATAATAAGACTAAGCAGCTATTTCTGCCTTACGTTGGAAGCTCAAAGGGAACTATTTTACTATTTACTTTTTATCCAAATGAGTGAAATGTAACTTTAAAAATCTCATGAGGACAAAAATCTCTGGTATACAGTTAAGGTACCTTCTTGACTTGCATAAACAATAGTTCATTTTCATTTAGACATCTTGTTGTTTTTAAAAGACAATAACAACTTATTGCTGTGAGTCTAGAAAGGAACCTTTCTAGACTGCATGGGTTTAATGTTTTTAGTTCCTATTGCTCAAATATTGATGAGCTGAGTCATTTACATATAGACAATGGTATGAAGTCAAATCCAACTTCCAGTGCTGATTCAGCATGAAATATTTGGTTATAGAATCACTTATGAACCAACTTGTTCAAATTCCATCAAACAGCTTCTGGTTAACTTTTAGGATTTCCAGGATTGTTCATGTGTCTTTCAAATCACTTCTTAGTTACAATTAATCTGAGGAAATTATTACTCTGGGAAGTGTACACCTGTGTGTGTGCAGTCAGGATGTGGAAATGCTGTATTGGTTTTTTGAAGCTTATGGAAGAAGTAGTAGTAAACGTTCAAAAATTAATTTCCCTTACAACAATGACTTTTAAAAGTGTTTTCCATTCTTAGCAGCTTACATCTTAAGGACATGACATGAAACAAAAATTTGCAACTTCTTCATTGCCAGTGACTTGGATAGAGTTCTTCTCCTATAACAACTTTTTTCTATCCCCATAAAGGCTGGGCTAGAGAGATTAGATGGAAATAGGGAATTATGACTTTTTTTTTTTTTGCACTTCCCTTTGTGCTCTGTTCATCTTTGCTGCAATGAACTAAAGCAGGCTTAGCAGCATCTTTTGTTGTATTATGCTCTTGGTTTTATCTTCTGTGTTCTATTGGTTCTATCTTCTGTTCTCTTGGTTTTATCTTTTTGATGTTCAGAGTGGAGATTCCTGGCTCAGTGGACAGCCCTCAGCATATGGCCTAACATTCTTAGGCAGTAATTGAGAGAAACTCCTCTTAATCAGAATTACAAGTATTTATCTAGTCATAGGTTCATCATAGAAAGGCAACAAAAGCACGAGTACTTTATCTGCAAACTGTTCACATGAATAAAATGAACAAACCCAGCACCTCATGTTAACCCAGAATGCCCATTTGATCTCCTCATAAAAGGCAGGCAGTTCTTCTGGTCAGTGCACAGAAAACTGAAAAAATTAAACACCTCCACTGGCTGAGGAAGCTTTCAAAGACTTCTGTGTTACACTTTTCAGGTTTGTGTTGGAACTCCTAATCCTTTGGTGCTGTGTGTCTGAGGCTCATCAATCAGGCTGGTAGAGGGACAGATCCAGTGCTGCCAAACTTGCCAGACTTGGCTGTGTTAGAGACCACAGGCAGGTAACAGGGATGATGAGTGGGATCCAGTGCAATGGAAAATGAGTGCGAATTTGAGGAAATGGGAGGAGAGCCGTCACTTGAGAGGAACAGAATTGTCATCCGCCGTAATTTTTGTTCAAATGAACAGCAGCAAGGGAGCTTTATCCTCAGCTGCTTCATCTCCTCTTGCCCATCTGTCTGAACCTCAAGTGACCTCTACCAAGATTAACCCACAGGATGATAATATTTCAGATTGGCCAAGCAATGCTTTTGGTCCATGAGCAAAGTTTTTTTTCCTTCCCCCTCGTCCTAGTTCTGCTTTATATCAATGAAATTTTTGCCTTAAACTAAAGAGTCTGTCTAGGCAGAAGTGGAAGGTTGTTGGAGCAGTACATTTGAGAAAGCTTTTTAAAAATCTCTTAAAAGCAGTGGAAATTTCCAGGCTTCACAAAAGAAAAAGAAAAAAAAAAAAGATTTTAAGTTCTGGTCTAATAACTGCTTTGCAAGAAGAGAAATATGAAAAGGAACCGCAGACATTCTGGATGTCAGCCTGCAAAATTTTCCACTATTTCCTTTAATAACATGCAGGCATGCTTATATTGCTGGAATTTCAGTTAGAAGTCCTGTTCTGACTGAGGCTTCAAGCTATTTGGTGAGCAAATGCTTGCTGAAAATCAACTATTGATTAATATAATCTTGTCTCCAGTTTCTTGTTTTACAGTTTGTGTTAACTGTTCCTATTGCTACGTGATCACTGCTGGGTGACAATCCATCTTTTTGTCCTTCTGATAGTAATTCTAGGCCGACCTTTCCAATAAAGACTGTTTGCTGCTAAACAGAAATTTTAATTGTCCTGCCTTTATATATAAGGGAAGAAAGACATTAGGAAACACACCCTATTCTAATAGTATTCTTTTGTAAAAACAGTTAACTTTAAAACCTATGTAATGGTTATTTTAAAAATCATTGTATCTTCAGACACAATGGTGAAAATCAAACTGAATGGTCTACAGGTTCAACCTAATTTGTCTACCTTGAAGCTCTTTTCTGTGTAAGTTATTCTTGTTTACTAAAAAGCTCCCTGACCTTTCAGAGGTCTAAAGAACTCTGTACTTGGAATGTGTCCTGTCTTTCTGTCACTAGAGATATTTATTATTAACTTAGGCTGTTTTGGGTTAGGACCTAAAGAATCCTTCATATATTGGGTTGAGATTTTTTTTTCTGGAATGCTGGGATAGGAGCTAAGGGAGTGCATTGTGCAAAAAGCAAGCAACATCACAACTAACTGTCATCTTTCTAGTATTAACTGAAAATATAAACCCAGAACCCTTTAAATGCATTTTCATGGAATGCTGTCTGTCTAAGGCAGCACAGTCCACTCCCACAGTTCTCCAGCCAAGTCAGGGCTGTTGTGCTTCCTTTCTGTTCCCTCTCTTGCTCTGCAGTCAGCAAACAGGTTTAAATGTAAAATCATTCATTCCCTCCCTCCTGCCAACAATAAAACCTGGACCCCAAAATCAAACTCAACCACCCTGACATCTCCTGGCTGTCAGCTTGCTCCTGGTTGCACAAACACCAGGAGTAGTGCAAGGAAATGAGGGGGGTGGGACTGCAGCACCCAGAGTGGAAACAAAATGGAACTGGATGGAGTTCCTGTAAGATTCTGTTATAGAAGAGAGGCTCAAGTGGTCCCTGGGGGTAGGACAAATTCAGCCCCCTCTACCCACCTGTAGGAGGAAGAGTTGGATGAGATGCTCATGATGTGTTGTTACTGGTAGCTCCTTACCTATTGCATCTGCATTAAAAACGTAATGTTACTGAAGACAGGAGGGATTGAGTCGATATATTGTGTCCTGTTCTGAAAACTGATGTTGAGCAAGGTGAAAAGATTTAATGTGTATTTTTTTCCTAGTGTAGCACAAATGTATTGCTAAGCAGAATAACCTGCTGAAAAGGATAAGTACTGCAATCACTTTATTTTGGGGTAGAATCAATCTATTGAATGCATCGCTTCTGTAAAGATTCAGATCACCAATCCCATGCTATTGGGGTTAGGGTAAAGGATTTTTAACAGGACTGTAGAATACAAATATATGGGCTTTTGTTCTGAAAAACTTCTTATTGCTTTTCTCCTATGGTGTTGTGATCAGTGCTGGTAAGAGACTTCCTGGTTTCTACTTTGAGGTTGAGGACTAAGAATAGTCAAGATCTTTAATAGCTGTGGTAAGTGTTTCTAAAGGAACCTGCAGAGCAGATTGACATAGTTGCCAGCATTGATAGACTTGGGGCTTAATATTCTAGTGTTACTTAAATTCTAGTTTTCACTTCCACAAGATCAAGGTTAAATTTTTTTTGTCTGAAGAGATTTATTTTTTTTTTTAATATGGAAAAAAGCAAAAGGGGAGGGAAGGACGGTACAGAATGTATTTTGTGTACAGCTATTGTCTTACTATTACACCAAGAGTGCCTTTCATGTCTAGGTCTAGATAGTTTCCAAATTAACCTGTGCAGCTCGGCCAAAATAAACAACTACATGCACAGCTGAAGACAGGTAATTGTAGTTTGTTTATTGTAGGAAGCTATTGCTAAATATTCTACGTTTATATGAACACTTGTAGAAAAAGAATCTATGAGTGCCAGTAACACAGATTTATAGGACACAGGGCAGTTTGGAATATAGCCATCTTACCTGGAATTTCACGGGTCATGCAAGTGGGAAGAGTGACACATGACAGTAATGGACTTGTTGATAATTGTGCTATAACACAGTTGCAAAAAATAATTTGATTTTTGAGGATGGAGGGGAGCTGGTTTGTCTGCTTAATATTGTCTGTGAAGTTTTTTTCTGTTTTCCGTCTCCCTTTATGTTGCAGTTCTGGATGCAGGAGCTCCCCAGTTGGTTTTCAGGGCAGGTACTTGATTGAGTTAACTATGGACCAGACTCTTTAGACTGGAGTGTCCAAAAACCTTGTTTTAAGTGTATGACTTGTAAATGGAATTAACTCTTAGCTGACACACAGATTTCACTGGTATGGAAGTTCAACATATGTTTTCTGTTTTGACAGGGCAAACCCTTGAAGTGAGCTGACTTCAGCAGAGGCACAACAGTCCTAGATCTTATTTCTGATTAGAATCCACAACTATAACAGGATCTCTTGAACATGAACAAACTATGAAATGTATGTGATTGGCCTTTTCTCCTGGGTTGAGGGTCTTGAAACTGCAGTTTAGTTTCAAAGTAAACTTTAACATCTAACTGCTAGTTGCTATAATTAACTATATAAATCTATTCATTAATCTTCTGTCTTTACACAGAAATGGTTCTACTTAATATTTCTGTTACCTTTCATTTTTATTGACATTTCAATAATTAGTCACCTTTTTCATCCTCTTTCAGAGCTCACAAGAACTAGTAGGACCCTATGTAGAGATAAACCCTTTAAGGCAATAGTATTCCTCAGTGCCAAGTTGGTTTGAAAGTTTTTTCAAGGTGATGAAGTTGCACATGTGAGACTGGGAATATTCTGGCATGCAAAAATAATCCATTGTGCTTGCATTTTGCATGAAGGTTGACAGAGCAGGGTTCCAGAAACTTCGTCTGTATTAGAAAATCTGGAAGAAGATAACTAAGAAAATAAGTTCAAGTGCTGTTGCAGGGTTTCTTCAGTAGGCTCACTTCCTTGGCTAAGGCCTCTTCTCTGCAGTAACACTCTGAGTATCTTTAACTTTCAGTAGTACATTATTTTAGGGTGCTTTATTTCACACTATGTGGACTCGTGTGTGTATATATAGCCTCAGTCACTTGATATCATACACAGTGTCTACCACAGCACAAGATTTTTTTAAATAATTCTAAAAAAAAAAAAAAATCCATTAACTTCCTCCTTTAACACTGAGACACTGATAGGGAGTAAATGTACTTATTATGGATCTGTTGCACCAGATTGGCGGTGTCAGCTGAGGATGTACCACATTTGTGGTGGTGTTACTATGGCAACTGCCTTCTAAGAGCTGTCTCAAGGTCACTCATCAGTTGTAGCCTGGAGTGTTTGCTGCTTAAGCAAAATATCTACACCAAACAATTCCAGAAACGATCATCCTGCTTTGAAAAAGCAACATAGGGATACGGAACAGTATTTTATTTTTGAGGCAAGGAAAAGGAGATTCTCTTTAATTATCCTCTGTAATCATCCATTAGATATTTGAAGACTCTTAGGAACATTGAGGGCTCTATTTTAGTTCTAATGTAAGTTGTAAGTAATTAAGTCCCAATGACATGAAAATTGTCATATTTAAAAGCAAAACAAAACCAAAAAATAGAACCCTTAGAAACTGAAGAACTTGAATCGATATTGGTGACCAAGCCAGAAGTTTTGGTGCAAAAATGACTGTTTGTGGCGGTGAAAATTCAGACAAGATGGTGAAAACCTACACTGTATTGAGAATTCAGACCTTCATATACTTTAAGGGCTTTTTTTGTGAGACATGCAGATGCATTCTGGCATCTAAATCCTTGTGTGTGTAGTCAGAGAATGTCAAATCCACTGAGAAGCATTTTCACTCTGCTGCACAGTGATTCACAGGCAAGGCTAGAGAAGGGATGGTTCGTGAAGTTGCTCTTGTGTGTGAGGTTACAAGAGATTCTATTACACTGCATCCATAGGGCTGAATCCACTGGACTAAAACTTGGTTAGAATGACACTGAATAGTTACCTGACTGGTAAAAAGCCCCCGTGTTTTATGTGGCACTCTGTTTAGTTTTCCTTTTTGGATGTAAGCTCACCTTTCTTCTTTCTTGTTCCCCTGTTTCGTGGACTAAAATAACAGTATGAGAGCAACAGAAACAGCCATTAGATTCACCAGTTGATATTATGGCTGACTACTTCTCAATCTTATTTAGAAAAAGCGGTAAGCTTTTATTTTGAGAACTTAATGTATTCAGACAGCAATTTATTCCCTCCTTTTCCTTTCTAGGCTAGGAGCTAGAAGTTTTTCTCGCTTCCTCTCAAATACATGTATTAATTGGTCTTCTCTCCCATCTGTTGTTTTTTGACTTCTCTTTAGTTTGTAGGTTTGGGGATTATTATTTCCCAAGTGAGTGTCTTTTATATCTCTACAAGTAGTTGTCCAAAGAGCCCAGGGAGCTCCATTCTTGGAGTACTACTAGTACTACACAAAGGTGATAGATGAGCTGATATTTTTGTTTCTAGATTAACAGGATATACCTAAATGTAAGGAGTGAATGAAAACATGGGAGAAGGATATCAGGTTAGTAATCCAGTCTCCTTTCACCCTCAGTATAACAAGCCTAGACCTTTAGGTAAGAAGGTGGAATCAAGTTGTACATTTAAACTGTTGGTAAAAGGGAGTTAAGACAAATCTCTGCTTTTTTAAGGGTGATCTGTAAGAGGCATTAGTGATAAATGTGTCGTTCTCACTAAAGTGAGCAGTCAGTTCAAATTTTAACACAAATTGTGAGCATACTTGTGTATCCACATAACAAGAGAAGAACAATTGTCATCAGTGCCACTTAACAGATGTTTGCAGGGCATTTCCATGGGATATGATGTAGTGGCATATAAAAGCACTGCCTTGTCTACAAAAAAAGTCTTACACAGGCAACTACAAATTGCATGTGGTGAAGTATTTCCTGAAAGATGATTTAAGCCACAGAGCTGGTATGTTCATTAATTACTAGAGATGTGGTTATAGTGTGAGGTACAGGCTGATCACCCAAAGCTCTCTGTGCAGTCCCGCACAGGATTGCTGCCTTGAACTGGTCTGGGAGCCTGTGCTGACTTCCAGGCTAAGTTCATCCAGAAGTTCTCACTGAATGTGATATCTTTGCTACACTGCGGGTAAAAGGTAACCTCAAAGCTACCTAAGGCACATTCATGCAAATTTTATTAAAGTAAATCCTTGTAGAGCAGATATTATTATCTGCTTAACCACAGAATCAGATTTGTGTTTCACTTTATGTGCACTCAATATGGTTTTCCAAGAGCAAACAGGCTAGACTTGTGGGTCAGCCTTACACCTGTGTTTTTCATGGTATTTTAGAGTATATTACTTCTACTTAAGAACTGTCCGAGAGTTCATGAGAGAAACAGTCTGATATTCCACAGATTTCTTGAGGATGCAGCTAGTTGATATCTTTTAACAAAAGCAGGTCAGCTAAGATCCTAGACAGTGGCAGTGTTTTATTCCAATATACATGCACTGGCTATAGCCAAAATAGACTCAAGCTTAGGTACACTAATTGCCTTAGCAACTTCAAAGGTTATTTTTTCTTTGCAGTGGCAAGGCTGGTTCCACTTTCTAATGTAATATTTTGAACAAAAGGTTGGATACTTTCGTGTAGTCATATTCGCTGCCCTGAAAGTTTGGAGTCTTGATATTTAGTAATTCTAATTCAGTCTGGTCTTATTTTTTTTTTTCTGAAATAGTAAACTTGCAAAACTCTCAGGCTTTTCTTCCTCACCAAATAGAGTTAGCAAGGCACTTCACCGCAGATTGATTCATTTAGAAAATATTTTCATGTACTGTTATTGTTAAAAACAAAGAAACAAAAAAAGGCCTGTACATGAAACGGAATGTTTCTCTTCTAGACTTACACTGGCTCCATAGCATCAACAGTGGAAAAAAATAAGTAACTAACAGTCCTCCAGAGACTTTATCAGCCAGGGCTGTTGGTTACTGTAAAACAAAAACAAAACCCCACCCACAAAAGCAAACAGCTGAAAAGGGACGTAACTTGCCTAATTTATTAAGGTGGCATTTTTGGCGTATTCATGCTAAATTAAAGGTCTCACCTCTGAGCCAGGGATTTCAGAAACTGCTCTGACTTTTCTCTGGATGCTTACATAGGAAGTCCTCGTGCACTTCAGTATTACTTTCAAGAATCTGAGGCAGAGTGGAGCAGAACTAAACATTTCCTTAAGTTATAATTCAAGGTTCGCCACCATCACAGAATCCCAGAGGATTCCAACCCTTCAGGCAGGAAGGGACCACAGTGGGGCATCTGGACCAACCTCCCTGCTCAAGCAAGGTCATCCTAGACCACATTGCATATGATGGTGTCCAG